GTCGAGGAGTTTTGTGTTACCAGTTTTATTAAATGCTACATTCCAGTAATTATATATATTAGTATTTGATCCTGTGCATTTGCACAAATATAAAACACGTTTTTGTTTGTATTTATTAATTAGACATGTACTTCTATCATATAAAAATTATAAATTTTTCTTAATTATTTTTATCATTCAAAATTAATTGAGATTTAAATTTTATTTTAACCATGCAACGTTTACATTAGTAACATAACAACAACAAAGTCTTTTAGTCCCAAACAAGTTGGGGTAGGCTAGAGATGAAACTCAAGAGATACAGTGCTAATAGAAACACACAAAAAAAAAAATATAAAAAATAATAAAAAAAAACCTCAAAACAAAACCAAAACAAAACAAAACTCAAATCAAAAAACAAAAACAAAACAAAAAGAAGAGATTGGAGCAAAAGTCACGGTTCCGGCACGTTGATCGCTAACCTCCATGCGCTCCTATCCACCGCTAAATCCTTGGAGATATTCCAATTTTTAAGGTCTCTCTGGACCGACTCTTCCCAAGTGAGTTTAGGCCGACCTCTACCTCTCTTAACATCATCAGCCTGCTGTAGAACCCCCCTATGCACCGGTGCATCAAGAGGCCTCCGTTGGACATGTCGGAACCACCTCAGCCGATGTTGAACCAATTTCTCCTCAATTGGAGTCACCCCGACTCTATCTCGAATATCCTCATTCCTGATTTTATCCCTTCTTGTGTGCCTGCAAAACCAACGCAACATCTGCATCTTTGCTACACTTAGTTGCTGGACATGTTGCCTTTTTGTAGGCCAACATTCAGTATCGTATAGCATCGCCGGTCGAATCGCCGTCCTATAGAACTTACATTTTAGCCTTTGTGGCACCCTCTTATCACAGAGAACGTCTGAAGCTTGACGCCATTCCAACCAACCAGTTGCAATTCTATGCCTAACATCTTCATCAATGCCGCCATCCTTTTGTAGCGTCGATCCTAAATACCGGAAAGTCTCCTTCTTGGCCACCACTTGCCCGTCAAGGCTAACGTCACCATCATCATGAGTACCAATGCTGAAAGTGCATGTCATGTACTCGGTCTTCGTCCTACTAAGTCTGAAGCCTTTCGACTCTAACGTGTCCTTCCACATCTCTAACTTCCTATTTACCCATGTCCTACTCTCGTCAATTAGCACCACATCATCAGCAAAGAGCATACACCAAGGGATATCAACTTGTATGTCCCTTGTGGCCTCATCCATCACCAAGACAAATAAATAAGGGCTCAATGCTGACCCCTTGTGTAGTCCTATTTTAATTGGGAAGTCGCTGGTATCGCCCCCACATGTTCGGACACACGTCATCGCATCTTTGTACATATCCTTGATGAGGGTAATGCACTTAGATGGGACTTTGTGCCTTTCTAAGGCCCACCACATGATATTCCTCGGTACTCTGTTATAAGCCTTCTCAAGGTCGATAAAGACCATGTGCAAGTCCTTCTTTTGGTCTCATATCTCCCCATCAACTGTCGTATTAGGAAAATCGCCTCCATGGTCGACCTTCCAGGCATAAACCCAAATTGGTTTTGGATCACACTCGTCACTCGTCGTAGGCGATGCTCGATAACCCTCTCCCAGAGCTTCATCGTATGGCTCATCAACTTAATCCCACAGTAGTTACCACAGCTTTGAACATCACCCTTGTTCTTGAAGATCGGTACTAAAGTACTTCTCTTCCATTCATCAGGCATCTTGTTTGACCGGAAGATGAGGTTAAAAGGTTTAGTTAGCCATACTAACGCTCTGGCGCCCAAGCATCTCCACACTTCAATGGGGTTACCATCAGGGCCTATTGCTTTACCACCCTTCATCCTCTTCATAGCCTCTCCGATCTCTGCCTCTCGGATTCTCCTCACCAAGCGTCTATTGGTACCCTCAAATGAGTCAACCAACTCTAGGGTAGGACCCTCACTCTCCCCATTAAACAATTTGTCGAAGTACTCTCGCCATCTATTCTTGATCTCCCCATCCTTCACCAGTAGCCGATCCGACCCATCCTTGATGCATTTGATTTGGTTGATGTCTCTTGTCTTTTTCTCCCGAATCCTAGCTATCCTATAAATGTCCTTCTCCCCCTCCTTTGAGCCTAGGCGCTGATAAAGGTCATCATAGGCCTGACCCTTCGCTACACTCACGGCGCGCTTTGCGGCCCTCCTCGCTATTTTATAGCTTTCAATGTTGGTTGCACTCTTGTCAAGGTGGAGACGCTTGAAACACTCTTTCTTCTCCTTAATAGCCCTTTGCACCTCGTCATTCCACCGCCAAGTGTCTTTCGCATCCTGCTTGCCTCCCCTACTCACACCAAGTACTTCTGCAGCCACCTTCCGTACACATGTTGTCATCTTTAGCCACATGTCATCTGCATCTTTTCCTTCTTCCCAAGGCCCCTCGCTTAGCATCCTATCCCTAAACGTCTGCGTCGCTTCCCCTTTAAGCTTCCACCACTTCGTTCTCACGGTCTTGGCACGTTTGTCCCGGTGAACACGTATTCGGAACCGAAAGTCCGCCACTACCAGCTTATGCTGGGGGACAACACACTCCCTGGGTATCACCTTGCAATCTACACAAGCGTGTCTATCCTCCCTCCTTGCAAGGATAAAGTCGATCTAACGTTTACATTAGTAACATAAATAAAATAATTTATATATTTGTGGCATGTAATAAGAAAATTAACATAAATAAAAAAATTATTCGTGTTTCTGATTTTTAGAAAAAAAAACGTGTGAATCATATTTTTCTTTCAACAATGCAACTAAATATAGCGGTTACATCTCTGAATGTGTCAATCAACTTTAAGTTCCAACATTAGCCGTTACACATTGAATATTTTGCTATCAAATTTAGAATTTATTGAATAACTAATCCAAAAAATAAATAATAAAAATATATATTATATTAAGGTGTAATGATTTTAGTAGATTAATAAGAAATTAATTAAAAAGATGTAACTCTTTTTAAAGGTAAATAAAAATAGGTTTTATTAAATTTTTTATTAAATGTATTAGCT